CCTTTTCACGAATATATTCATTTCATGCTTCTTTCAGCTGGCGCTGCAATGGGGGCTTTATCTTTGAAGTATAAAACAACTCATATGTTGGGTGATGTGGAGATAAGGTCTACCGTAATTTAATTAGTTTATTAATTAAGAATCTCACATACCGCTCACCTGCCTTTTCACCTACCGCTCACCTAGTTTCTATAAATAGCCTCTGATGACTTGTTATGAAGCCAAGCCACAAGTCAAACAAGACCAAACCAAGTCATCTAAGAGAGAAAGAGAGGAAGAGAAATAGAGATGAACGGAAAGAAGAAAATAGAGATTTTCTTGTAAACGTCGATGCGCCCGACGGGGTAATTCCTCGACAAAATAAAATGTTCTGTAGCTCTGTGGACGTAGGCAAATTTGTCGAACCACGCAAATCTATGTCACTCTGGTGTTTTTTTACGTGCAATTTTTGTCGTTCCATTTTTCGTTTGTTGTCGTCATTTTTTTCACAACATCATCCACCCATGCAGACTCATCTCAAAATCATCAAGTAGGCTTGATGCATTCGTCCACTTCAGCCATCCAAATATTCTACTAATAACATCTCGATGCATATCACCATCAATTTGAATAATATACCTGAGATATCTAAAATGCTCGCTCTTTTTAATGACTCGATCACCCATTATGACAACACTGCAATTAGATCTAGCACTACTAAAATTATATTTCATTTATTCAATTTTAGATCCACTCAAGCGAAAGTTTTAAGAGTCAAATGCTGATCTTCATAATTCAAAGTTTTTTTATGTACTCTCTCTCTTTCTCGTCTTATCCACAAGAAGAAGGATATCATCTACAAAAGCATACACCAAGATACGTTCTCTCGTAAATATCTAGTAAGACATGGATTTAATAAGAAATGGGTTTAGAGCCAGTCATTGAGATGGATCTAATAATATTATTATTAATATTAATAAAAATAAATTAGATTTTAATGTGCCACTCAATTCTTATGTATTTATATGCTACCTTATCTATACACGTTGAAGTATATATATATATATATATATATATTATTTCTTAAAATTGATGTTGTTTTATTTTTTTATGATATGAAAGATTTGATCGGTATAAATATAGAAAAATAAAAATTTGTATTCTTAATAATATTAATAATAATGACGATGATAATGAGATAATATTATTTTTTATTTGCCCAATTAAAAAAAGGTCAACGGTCAAAGACTGAGATCATATATATTTGTTTTTATGTCCATACCATTAAGAAAAGAAAATACTTCTCAACGAAGTTATTTTAGGTGTGAAAAAAATCTTTCACGACTGCTAACCCTTTGACATGGCGTATGTATCTTAATAAAACAATGGTTACATTCATTTTTTTTATTATATATATATATATATATATATATA